AGTTTTCGAATGTTAAAATCCAGTGGGTTCAATGCTCAACAGCTGTGGTATGGTCAGGGTCAATATCAAGCCTTTATGGTCTCATGCAATGTTCCATGTTATTTCTAATTTGAATTTTAGTGAGAAAACAAATGCAATTATAATCTATCTGAAGCTATATTCAGAATAAAATGGAGTGTATCCAACTGAACTTATTTAAATACAGAATATGTATAAGGGGAGATAATACATATCACACATGGATAAGAACATATGTTCATGGACCAAAGAGAGCCTAAATTGTCAACAAAGCAAATTTAATCACCACACAAAGTCAGCAGTAATTCCTTTGTTACTACCCTCTACATGATTTGAAATCATTCACCATGACATTGTAGGTCCATTTCCACCAACTATCAATCACAGCAGCACATACTCATCACCAGCAAGATACATTCTAACATGCATAGACAGAGCTATTCAATAGGTTGAAGCTACACTCGTGCAAGACACTACAGCCTATGGTCATGTCATTTCTAAATGTATGAATATCCCAATTTGGAGTTCCCATGTATGTTGTCAGTGACAGGAAGTCAATTTGAAAGTGAGCTTTTCAGTGAATTATTGAAACTGATAGGATTTCAAAGACTAAGAATCATAGCATACCATCTACAATCCAATGGAGTAATTGAAAGGCAACACAAGACAATTAAAACTGTCATAATGGCAAGAAAACAAATCTGGTTAGATGCCTTGACAACAGTATTCACAAAACCTACCAATAGAAACATGTTTACTCACCAGCTGTTGCAGTAACAGAGGCTTAAGTGCTACTACCCAAGCCAATGGTTGAAAATGACTATGAAAAGGTTTGGCAATTAGCATGAGAAATGATGAGACTTTCATTCCTAAATAAATATACATATCTAGTTATGAGTCAAAGTAAGACACCTTTTAGAAGCCTCTTATGCTCAACCATTTAAAGTCCTAAAGAGAAATGACAAATATTTTATTAATTATAGGATTATGCAAAAGTTAGCTTGGTATATTTAAAGTATATAAGACAAAATCAAAAGGAAGTAGTTGATAGACATAGGTCCAATTTGAAATTGGTAGACATTGATAAGGTTTCCAAACCTGAGTTTGGAAATGTCCACCTGGAAGGTTAAAAAGAAAGAAAATAAGGAATTCAAATTATCTTCCCTTTTACAAGATGCTTTTTGAGATGATGAAAAAGACAAGGCTTACACAAGGGGAAATTTGAAAAGAAATGAACATTTATTAAAATAACAAATGTACTTTGACAGCATACAAAAGAAATCATGCACAACATGCACCTCAAATTATCAAAGCAGAATAACACTTCTTGTAAGTGCAAATTTCTGTTTTCTTTTACAAACCAATTTTGTGAAAGTCAATCATTTTTCTTAACAACAAAAGAATTTTACTTATATCAAAAGTTTAAAGTGTGAGAAAGGAAGACATATCTTAGGCAATGCTGGTTTTCTGGGTTTTTAGATAAAATATTCAGATTTTAGAAACATATTCGCTGACATGAGATAAAATCTATTAAGTTTAGAAATAGATATTCACAGATATTTAAAATTTAGATTTAGATTTTCAAGCATCTTCAGCTGTTATCTTTCTTTCTTTCCACTAGGGATGCCTTCATAAATAAAATTCCCTTTATGGTTCAATAGTAATCTCCAACTGGATCAAATCAACTTCTTCAAGAGTATATACTTTTTTTTTTAACTCCATTGGTTAAAAACTCAAAAATAACTATCCAAACAAACCACATCTGTTTACAAATATTAATTTTGTAAGCTTTGGTCAACATCAAATTAGTCCCTCTTTTTAGCAGATTTTTGCTCATAAATTTTTAATCATTGTTTTTTTTTTTTTTTTTTTTTTATAAACCAACTGACTTCATTTTGGACCTTACCAGAACTATGTTAAGAAGTTTCAAGGACTGAAACTGGTGCGCATGCACGCATATACACACAGAGAAAATGGTCATCAATTTCAAAATCACAAATTTTGTGATTTATCTTTTAATAGTTTAACAGATGAGATGTTCAAAGAAAAGCTACAGCTGGTTCCAATAATTCATGTTACTGGGATCAGTTGAAAACAGTGAAGAAATCCAAATGATGAAGGCTAAAACACGACTGAATACAGACCTGTTTATGTTACACTTTTTGTGTAGCATTCTACAGTTTGGAATTCTACTAAACTTGGAAATTTTGAATTATAGACTTTAATTCTTAATACTATACATTTCAGCTATCTAGACTACTCATGGTTTGGGAATATCACAAAATTCTTACTGCTGTACATTTCCTGTGAAATTAAGTATAATGGTTTTATTGAACAAAACTATGAATAGAAATTTTCACAAAAAAACTACTCATTTTAGCTACCCCTACTATTCATGGCTTTTGTTGCACATGATACAGAACACAATGATGTTAACATTTTTTCATTTCATCTAGTTTAGTATTCAGATCCTCTTCCAATTTTGAGATCTCTATGGATTTGTCTTTTGCAGATCTTCACATGGCATTGGACTTTGTGATAAGTATGAAATTCTGAGGTTGCTCAGCTTTCTCCACATAGCTGTCAGCTGACTTGAGCAAATCTTGTGAGCAACTTTCAAGCTTGTGTTTTTTGGTTTTCAGTTCTTCAATTTCCATAAGTATGGATTTCTGTTTTTATCCAGCTGCTTCTTCCTGCCTTTTTTCTTATCAAACTCAAGATATTAGTTGTATGCTGTTCTGGGTGCACTGCAAAGGGCCATAGTCATGGGAACATTGTCAAACACCTCCAATTAGTCCCTGATCAGAGGGATCAGGGACTATCACTGTTGGATCAGAGTCTACCATTTCATATTGTCAGTGGAAATTTCCTTATTGACTGAGAAACCTCTTTCTAATGAGACTTTTTCATGAGAGAGTACCAGTAATCTGTGAACAACTTTCCACAGTTTTTGATATTCTTTGTTGTTAGACAAAGAAGAGTAAAATAAAGTGTCCAGACAGTCTTTCATGCTTGCTGAAATTCTTGAAAGCAATATTTCCAGCAGCCTCCTCCTCAAACTCTTTGTACTCTTTGATGATATCATCACAATCAGACTTGCTGACTTGTTTTCTGTCCATCATGGGAAAGACATCTTTTTAGACTGTCTTCCACAGCAGATTTTTTTTACAAATGGATCCATGGTTCAGCCATGAAAGTGACCTTACAAGAGCGTATTTAAGGGGAGACTTTGCCAGAAGTTTCTCAATGACGGTAATGAACAATGTCTGCATGCAAACAAATCTTTTGTTGACACATTTCCTTTAAATTTTGCATAGCCAGAAATGCACACTCGATCCTTGTAGAATCTTTATGCATGTTTGAGTTTAACAAACTTCTTACAAATTCATTTATTTTGGAAAATATAATTATCTTTTTAGTGTACTCTTCCTTTACAAATCTTAACAGTTTCATGATCACGCTAAAAAGATTATCTGCAAGAAAATGAAGCAACAATTTATCACTATTTTATCAGAAATAGTTCAATGGCTTTTGGAACAGACACAAAAATCTGTAGTTTCAAGGGATATAAAATGTCATTCACATTTGACAGCATGGCAGAGAAGGACTTGGTCTGTGGACATTTTTCTCTTTCAAATTTGATGACATCTGGTTAAATGTCTAGGAATCATTAACATGTTTGTACATTTTCTAACCATCTATGGCAGAAATACAAAAGTAAAGGGACAGGGTTGCCAGATTGAACTTTTAATATAAAGCTAAATAAGTTTTAATATTTAACACAACAAAATCTAGAGATACATGTCATTATTAGCCTGCAAACTTAAAAAAAATATTCTTATTTTTTCAAAGACGCATTTTCTATCCTATCCTAAGACACATTTACTATTGTATCATCTTTCCTTGTCTATATCTTCTTTGGGTCAAATTTGATTCTCAAACCTGTTACTTTTTGCAACAATTCAGACAAGCATAGTTTACACATAGATACATATTGACACAGGACACGTTAAGTATCTATTTTTTTCAGCATGAACTCACCAACTGTGAGAGATCAAAAGGACTTTTGAAATTGATATATGTATAAAATTTCTTCACTTGTTCAAATTTTAAAAAACACTGATAAATTTTTTGAGATTCTACTAAAATTTATTTTATTACTGCAAAATAAGTTATTAATTTCTTTTCAATTACAAATTCAATGAGTGTGAATTAATTTGTCTTTGATGGAGATTTTTGTCTCTGACACCTTTTATCTTTGCTTTTCCTCTTTTCTTTTGTGTGAGGGTAGCATCTAGAAGACACACCTATTTATTCTTTTTCCTTTTCTCTAAATGAGAAAATTTAACTACAAGATCATAAACTCGTTCAAATTAAGGAAACAAACCACCATTCACAATAATTGTCAAATAATCATCTTACTGATGAAGAAAAAATATTTTTCTTAAATGATAATTTTACCTTGCAAAAAATCAGAATTCTGGGATTTGGCATTTTGATTTTCATGAATTGAGAAAAAGCCTAATTTAGAAAATTCCAGGACTTTTAGGCTATTGCTGTTTTTCCAATTTTTTTTCAAGCCCTTGAAGAAGCCCTGTCAATTTTGCAGGAATTTTCAAGGTTTCCAGGACATCTATGTTAGACTAATTTTTATCATTTTCCCTCGTAATTTTTTTTTTTTTTTTTATATTCTGATTTTCTTCATTTTTATACAATTTTAACATTTTCTTGTTATATAGATAATTTTATGATGTGACACTTTTTAGAAAGGTCTTATGCCACTTTGGGGATGTAAATAAATTAAAAATAAATAAAATTTTGTAAACTATTTGCAAAATATCCCTCTTTTTTCCAAATAGATTGTACATTTGAGGAAGGCTGAAAACTGGATGAATCAAAATTGAATGGTAACAACAAATGAAATAATTCTTAGAAGGATGTCAAAACAACTCATGAATTAATCAGAAAGACAAGTTACTTACCGTTTCGGTCTGTCGAGAAAGTTGGTGTTATACTTGCAATTGTATTTACTGCTTTGAAACATTTAATGGCAACATCTTCCTTGTGCTTACAGTTATGCACTCCCCAATTAAGGTTGGGACAAACTTCAAGATCATATTCTGATCCAGTACAACTGAGGTCATCAAGCCAGATGTCACCTTGCCCTTGTCTAAATATATTTGGAATTACTTCTCCAAAACTGAAATTGAAAATTATTTTAAAAAATTAAAAATATTACATAAGTGGTCAGAAAAAAAGTTCTTAGCCTGACTCACTTTCCAAAATATAACAAAATGACCAAAACTAATTTAGGAACACATTTCAATTAAGCTGATAAACTTTTGACAAAATAAAAATAATTTGTATGTAAATTTTTAAAACAATTATTAAATTCTAAAAGTGTAAAAAAATCACTCAAATACTTTTGATAGTAAAATTGATCTAACTCAACACCATCTATCCATTAGTACAAATAACTATACACAAATTACTATATAGCTATAGAAGATCATTTTTATGTAGAAGGACAGTGTAAAACATCCAAAAGACTTGTTAACCTTAGAATATCAATGTAGTATTTCATAGTAAGACAACCCTTTGCAAAGTTCTTATGAGAGCTGACTCTTTAAGAATAGAAATTGTAAGGAAAAAAATGAATTTATAATATACTATGCATATGTGATAAGGTATCTAAGAAAATTAGTCAGACTCAAGGACATAAAAAAGGCATTACCAAAAGTGAGGTGGAAACATATAGTATGGTGGAGAAGAGTACATGTTACACTCTGTGTCATGAATTCCAGGTAATTTACTGGCTGCTGAAGATGGCATTTGTCAGTATTTCAATAAGATGTATTAGCCAAAGAATATGAAATACAATACTAGTGGCTTTTCTTTTCAATGGAGTGTTAAGTAATTGTCTACTTTTTATATTTTCTGTTATAACAACATTGATAATGTAACAAAAGTGGTGTGAAGAAGGCCATACATGACATTCGGTGTAATGAAGTCAAAGAAATTTGTAGGGAGCATCATTAAAAAGTAAGGAAGCTGAAAGAGGTGGCAACTATCAGCATTTCAACAAAGTGTATTAGCCAAGCTAGTATGGAATAAAACACAATCATTTTTTTCTTTTCAAAAGGGTGTTAAGGAGGGTTCCCACTTATCATATTTTCTAATCACAGGGGTACTCAATGTACATAATGCTGTGGAAATATATCAGACCACTTGATATATTCACAAATACTTTTAGTTGCTAATTTATCATTAGGGTTAGAGAATAACAACAGTTCATTTTTAGACAATTTTTACACTCTTTTCCAAATGCCGGGCATTTCTCTTTCTTCATGTCGTGTTCATATCCACACAATCTGCATTTTTGTTATGATTTACTTCATAATGGAAGTATCAGCAAGCTCTACATAATCCAATCAATTTTCTGACTTATTAAATTTTTCTATTAGTTCCTGCTGTTGAATAAATTCAATGCAGGGAGACAAAGACATGTTTCCCAGCTGTAATTTTATAGCAATATCTTGCATTATGCAGTCTGTCAACTAACTTCATTTGAATTCATTCTTCTTCAGTTGTTTGCCTTTCTTTTCAGATTTTTTTCAAACTCACAATATCAAAATGTTTTTTTCTAAATGAAGTAAAAATTTTGTGACTGGATTGTCAGTTTCTTGTCACATATCCATGAATTTTGCTCTTTCTGCAATGACTAACCACAGTTTTAGTGACAGTTTTTTTCTGTTTTATCTGACTTATTTCAGTGAAAATCAAATTTTCCAATTGCAATGGGTGAGCCATAGTTGAAATTTTCATGGCTTCACAACCCCGGTTGGGGCAAAAAAATCAGTTATTTAATTTACTCCTCCTATTTTTTGTTGTCTCTTAATTCCTCTTATCCAAGCATCTACAAAATCGAGATTCTCTAATGATAAAACAATTATTAAATTCTAAAAGTGTAAAAAAATACTACAAATGTTTTTGATAGTAAAGTTGATCTAACTTACACCATATATCCACTAGTGCAGATTGCTATATACAAATTACTATATAGCTATAGGAGATCATTTTTATGTAAGCGGGACAGTATATAACATCCAAAGGACTTGTCAACTTTACAATATCAATGTAGTATTTCATAGTAAGAAAAACCTTTGCAAAGAAAATGGAAGGAAAGAAAGTGCATTTTATGTGGTAAGGTATCTAAGGGGGAAACCAGTCATGCTCTTAGAGTCAGACTGACCGAGTCAGAATTAGAGGTGAGGTAGAAAAATCTGATATGGTGGAGAAAGCAACACATTACCCTCTGTGTGATGAAGTCCAGGTAATTTACAAAGAGAATATTTGGAAAGTAAGGAAGCTGAAAGAGGTGGCAACTATCAGCATTTCAACAAAGTGTATTAGCCAAGCTAGTATGGAATAAAACGCAATCATTGTTTTCTTTTCAATAGAGTGTTAGGTAAGTGCCCACTTATCATATTTTCTAATCACAGGGTACTTGATGTACCTAATACTGTGGGTATATTCACAAATGTGGCTAATTTATCATTTTCTTGAGAAAAAGGTGTCCCTTGTTCTGATAAATTACACCTGAAGAGGACTAGAGAACAGATCAAACCAAACCTTAACAGTAATAAGCATATGAAGAAGGGATTTGAGTGTTCCAACAACTTTGCAGATAATAAATTTTTGCAGTCATTTCATCTATAATCTAATTCCTTGTTTGTCAAAAGAAAATATATGAAAAGATTAAAAATTAAAGTCACCTGTAACCCATCATTCTACAAATTACTTTTGCATCGTTGTTATCAAATTCATCATCACAGACAGTTCCTTTGACTCCTTGACGAGTAATTTCAACTCTTCCACTGATTTCTAATGAGCCACCAATAAGCTGGATTCTGACGGCTGCAGAGAAAAGGACATAACACAAAAAGAGAGGGAGATGTATGAAAAATGACACATACATTTAAATATAGGTTCTGGAGATTTGCAACTGTTTATTTGTGACCAGGAGATATACAGTGCTGTTCGATAAAAGTGACTCACCTGATTTTTTTTACTAAGAATATTTTTTGTCTATTGTTTTTGGGGTTAAAATAATTTTTAATCTTACTAATATAAAGACCCCTTCCCGACCACCTAGGAAAAAGTTTATTCACCCTAAGGTATTCTAATGATAATTATAAATTTGGATATAAATGAGATTCAGGAAAAAACTCTGTGCAAAAAAAAAAAGTGACTCAGATATCGCATTCTAATGATTAAACTGGTAAATTTAAGAGCTTTTTGACAAAATATTGAAAACTATTTTAGAATACACTCAGAACAATATTCTAGAGAATTCTAGAACAGCTTAAATTAAATCTAGAGTATTCCAGAATATTCCAGAAAGCCTCATACAGTATAAAAACAGCTTGAAATAGCCACTCAAGTCACTAACCAGATGAAAGGGTACAAACACGCATCAGAACCACTTAAGGCATCTATTATTGCCCTCTCAAAAGCAGGCAAGTCTATGAGAGAAATTGCAGAAATTGCTATAACCTCACAATCAACTGTCTCTCGAGTGCTTAGGGCACATAATGATGCCACTCCTGCTCCAAGGAAGGAAACAAGGGGACGAAAGAAAAAGATTGATGATAGAACTGGCAGGGTAGTCAAGAGAGAAGTTGCGAAGAATAGGACTATAACTAGCCAAGAAATTGCAGCCAGTCTAAGCGAAGAGCAAGGTGTTAGTCTTGCCTCTTCAACAGTACATCGGTGGCTGTTAGAACAAGGCTACAAATCTTGCACACAAAGGTTTAAGCCGCTAATAAGCAAAGCCAACAAAGTCAAGAGACTTGAATGGGCTCACTATTACAAAAGGTTCACCGTAGAAGACTGGAAGGATAAGGTGAGACACTTTTATCAAACAGAATTATATATATATATATATATATATATATATACACACACACTTGGGCAGTAACAAATAATTTTAACTCATTCCTTTGTAAATTTTCATTTTATATTTGTTATTATAGGAATGCATTGCAAATAATAATTATGACAGGATTGCACATCATTTTACTATAAGAATGAATTCATAATGGCTTGCATTACAGGAACATAATAGCTAACATTTTACTGACAAAATATAGTACCCATCATTTAATATATAAATACATTGTTAATTATTATACTATTGCAATACATTACCAGTCATTTATATTATAAAAGTACACTGCCCTCAGTTTTTATTATTAAAATGCATTGACAAGCATTTTTGCCCACTAGTTTTACATTGATAATTATTTTTGCTGCAGAAATCTATTAAAAATTACTTGTCTCATAGAAAATAAAATGAGGGAACATTTCTTTTATTCTCCATCAATGCTTCATATCTATGACATGTAAATTATGACAAAGATGACAGCTTTATACAATGCTTAAACTAGTTAATTTACTAACATATCAACACTTCTTTTGTTTAATGCTGAATACCTCTTTTATAGGACAACAATCCCAATGAATTAATGCAAAGGTGGACATAGATTCAGATTGTGATAGAGTCAAAATGATAGACACAAAACTGGTTTGCCAAGGAGTCTAATAGTTATACAGTGACTAGATAAATTCCAGAGTTTGGAAATATCCATCTGGAAAGAGGCACTTTTTGGGAATGTCTTACATTTCTTTTTTTTCTTTCTTTTCTAAGTGCAGCTAAGATGGTAGGAAGGGATCATTGTATCCTATCTGGAATGGTCAGATAAGTATATAACACTGGATAACATTACTACTTTTCTCTCAAAATATTTTTTTTAAATAGCAGAGAATTTGTGAAACCAACTTGGAAAGTGTTCTTTTTTCCCTTCAAAAAGATTATACATCTGAAGAAGGCTGAAAAGTGCAACAGCATAAATTTAATAATAACAGATAAAATAACATCAATATTCAAAATAATTCTTGGAAGGATAAGAATGCAAGTCTAAATAACTCATGAATTAATCAGAGAAACAAGTTACTTACCATTTTGGTCTGTTGAGGAAGTTGAAGGTATACTTGTGGTTGATGATAAGGTTCTATTTGCTTCTTTGAAACATTTAATGGCAACATCCTCATTGTGTTCACAGTCATGTGTTCCCCAAGAAAGATTGGGACAAACTTCAAGATCATATTCTGATCCAGTACAATTGAGATTATCCAGCCAGATGGTGCCTTCCCCATATCCAAATGTATTTGGAATTACTTCTCCAGAACTGAAATTAAAATTTATTAAAAAAAAAAAAAAAAAATGTTTCATAGGTGGTGGGTGAAAAGGTTCATGACTTGACTCACTTTCAAAAATATAACAAAATGATCAAAATTGATTTAGGAACATCTTTCAATTAGGCTGATAACTTTCTAACAAAATACAATTTAAATGTAAATTATAAAACAATTATTAAATAATAAAAGTTTTAAAAGTACTTCAAATGCTTTTGATAGTAAAGTTGATCTAACTCACCATCTATCTACTAGTACAAATTACTATATAACTATAGGATATCATTTTTATGTAAGCGGGACAGTATATAACATCCAAAGGACTTGTCAACTTTACAATATCAATGTAGTATTTCATAGCAAGACAAACCTTCACAAAGTTCTTACAAAAGTTTGTTCTTTAGAATAGAAAATGTAATGAAAGAAAGTGCATTTATAATATACTATGCACATGTGGTAAGGTATCTAATGGGGAAATCAGTCATCCTCTTAGAGTCAGACTGAAGAACATAAGAAAGGTAAGATGGAAAAATCTGGTATGGTGGAGAAGGCTACGTTACCCCCAGTGTTAAAGTTCAGGTAATTTACAGGAAGCATCATTAGGAACAGGTCTAGTAATGGAGTCTTATTCCACCCCTGAAACTTTGCTACAGAGCCCCACTCTCTGTTACATGTTGATTTCAAAGTTTCCCAACCTGAGGACAACAAACTCTATAAAGAACCTTGGTTGAAGGGAAGGCACTACTTTTTTTAAATTAACAAAAATCAGCATATTATCCAATTTAAAATTTCAGTACATATTCATTAATTATTTACTTTTATAATAGTTTTTTTTTTATTTAAAAAAGATCTGAGAAAATTTTATTCTTTTTGTAATAACCACCAACATTTTTGTGATTATAAATTTTATTTTGATTACTAGCCGTGAACTTCTGGTTAGTATTACTATGATTAAAAAAAATCAGAATCTATGGAAATAGATCATACCATTGGGTATATTCACAAATAATTTTTAAGATGAATGTATTGCTTTCTTGAGAAAGAGCTTTCCTTTATTCTCATGAATTACACCTGGAAAGGGTTGTGGAACAGATTAATCAAAACTTTGTCTTAACAATAAGCACATGAAGAATTGATTTGAGTGTTCCAACAATTTTGCAGATAAATTATTGTTACAGTCATTGCATCCATAATCTAATTCCTTGTTTCTCAAAATAAAATATGTAAAAACATTAAAAATCACCTGTATCCCATCATTCTACAAATAACTTTTGCATCATTGTTATCAAATTGGTCATCACAAACAGTTCCTTTGACTCCTTTACGAATGATTTCAATTCTTCCATTGGTTTCTGAGGAGCCACCAACAAGCTGAATTCTGACAGCTGCATAAAAAAAAGGACATAACACAAAAATAGAGTGAGATGTGTGAAAATTGATGGATGCAATTAAATATAAGTTATGGAGATTTGCAAATGATTATTTGTGACCAGGATATATAAAATAAAAGAGTAACAAAGGAAAATTTGATGGCAAAAAATCTCAACTACTTTAGAAACAATAAAAGGAAAGAAACTGAAGCAAATTATATTTTTAATGAATTTCTTTTCAATACTGTATTGCTGACAATCTGTCTATTCAGTGCTATAATGATGGAATATGAACAGAAGAAAAGGTGATAGTTTAATTGCTGGAATAACTGTAAATTGTCACTGGTGTAAGGTGTCTGGCAAACATTTTCTGCTAGGCACATCAGGACATGTTTCAACTTGTTCCTTTCTGAGCTGCACACCAGATGGGTTCTTCATTACCAAGCAGTAGAGGAAGTTATAAGTGTTCACTATATACTATTGGTAGTAAACGAGTGAAAGGAATCTGGAACAGTAAAATAACATTTGGGAAGATTGGTAAAAGTCTTGTGAAAGGTTAGGTCTTCTTAATCATTTATGCAGGCTTCTGATATATCAACCATGGCAATGAGTATATATTTATTATTATTTCCTATTTATGGCACATAGAAAGAAAGGTATATAATCAAGGTGAATCCTAGTAATATTATATATTAAAACTGATCCACAAAGAGCTCAATGTATTTATTATAACAGAACATATATATTATACAGCAAAAAATCCAAAATTACCTCATGTGGATATAGTCTATGTTCAAACCGGCACAACCTTGTGCCAATCCTCCTCAACCCTGGACTGAGTTTGTCTTGGAATCACGGGTTTATTTATTCTAATAGGTGTTTTGGTATTACTTACAGATTTTGGGAATCTATTATTTAGATAATTTATTCTAACTTTAAATTGTTTTGTCTTTAAATCTCCCATTACTTAATAATATAAAAACCCTTAATTCTATTCTTTCTTTATATTAATTGTCTAAATACAGTTTATTGTTAATCCTATTAACAAACTATACCAACAACATATTTGTTGTTGGTATAGTTTGGTATTCTCTAGCAGGAACCTAGATTCTTTTATATACAACTTAAGGCTTTGGTCATAAATAAACTTCCATTCCAGCCCCTCCCACTTTAGAGAGATACCTCACACCCTCCTCTTATTCCCAACTCAGGCTCTTTATCTACACAAGGCATCTCTTTGGGTCGGCCTGTACCTTTTCCTTGACTGCTATCTAAATTAAATTCCAAACCCCTGATTCCAAAGAAAACTCAGTCCATGGATCTGTTATAAGAAATACATTTAGCTCTCTTTGTGGAATAGTTTTAATATCTGATATTACTAGGATCCACCTGGATTATCTACCAATGGATCTATTACCTGTATTATATATATATATATATATATATAATTATTATTTATAAAAAAAAAAATTATAACATAAATATGTTATAAAATCACTACAAAAATAACCATTTTGTTTCAACACCCTCGGTGTCTTATCAAGTGATGATGTTGAAGATAAAATAAATGGTTTTAAAAGTTTCAAGTTAATTAACGATTTGGGTGATACAATATTTTGCAGAATATCCCTGTATAAGAATGTGATAATCACATGGTATGATTTAATTGTATCTTACTCCTGAGTGAGTAAGTTCCATGTGAGAGTGTTCATGTATACATAGAAAAATGCCCTCTGGTTGGTAGCTAAATTCTATCAAGGTCACACAACTGGTTCTTGAGATATTAAAATGGCTATATACTTTCCAGACAGATTGACAGATGTTATGTATCTCAGACTCTGAGTATTTGTACAATTCTCAAAAACATTAAATCTATCATTACAGGTTATCTTACTATTCAAAGATTGATTAATGGTCTTGATGAAAAAACTTACCTTTGAGTAGATAAGTTCCAAAATTTGGGATGAATGATTTTATACCTTCATTTGTATCATAAAGGTTGCAATATTTTTTAATTGGTTTATACTCGAATGCTTTGCAATCAAAAGTTCTGTTTTTACTTAATAACAATAAGTAAGAGTTACACCAAAAAACTGAAAAACAAATAAAAAAAGATGTTTGAAATTTTCAATTTAAATTCTCTGTAAGTTAGATTTGAAGAATGAATAAAATTTCATTGAAAATCTCTTCAGACAATATTGTCTTTACATTATTCATTTAATTATAGCTCAAATTAAATAATGTCCTTTTTTCAATCACTTTTTTATTTTTTGAAGAGCAGATTTTTGAAAGACAGGGTCATTTAAAATTTTCTTATGTTCAAATGAAAAATATTTAAATCATCAAAAGAATATTCTTTTTATGTTGAAGATCTAAAGCATAACTTATGTCTGACAAAGGAAAAGCCATAATTCTGAAGCAAAATTTAAATAAAACTCACTGCAATAGTAATCTATTTGTAGAGTTTACTAATCTACTGAAGCAGTCAACAGGCATTTACCAGGATTATCCTAGTCTGATACAAGGTCACAGAGTTTAATGATTTTTTATTGATATAAACAATGTTTTTAATTACAATTTAAATCTTGTTCTGTAATGTTGCACATTTTTGGCTTAGTTGGATTCCTGGCTTATGGAGGCAGAGTTTTTCAGCTTTCACCAGCTTTCAGATATATATAATTAAAATGTCTAGTTTACCTTGCTATTTAACCCATAGGGATAGATGAAATTGGTATTTTCCCAAAGTCTTGTGCCAGAGATTAATATATAAAATTTGAACTTGGCTAGATTTCATTTCTGTACCAAGATGTTCCATAATAACTCAAGTTTATAGGGCGGCATATTAATGATATACTGATAATGGATGAAATCCCTTCACGATATAAGTCATTTATGTGCTAAGAGTGCATCATTGTTGTGTGAAGGATCACAATATGGTTAATAGGATGTAATTAAATAATTGTTGGACTGATAGAAGGTTATTAGCTGAATTTGAATCTTAGGAAGATTACTAATTCATAATACCAATAATACCTAATCACTTGTTGTTCTATACCTCTACTAAATATACCAGTTATTTATCCCTTTACAACTGTGTTTGTCTTTATTCAAAAATCACCAGATACTATGTCAGAACACTCCCAACAACTCAACAATAAATTACATAAGACAACATTAGGAGAAAATTATTAACAATCCATAATCTTTACATACCAAGCATTGAATAATAAAATATTCTGTCAGTAATTTTCTAATCCTTTATTCCTGACTATTTGATCACTCCCTTTTTTTCTAATGATTTTCAGTACATTTCTCCCTGAATTTAAACTGGTTTAAAATATGCATTTAATTATTATATAAAAATGGGTGAGAATGCTTGTTGGCCTGAACATGAAGGAATTAAAAATATATATGTATATTCTGATGTTGAGTTATTTAAAATTTTAGAAAGTTGGATGGGCTGAGAACATTTCAATATACATTTCATATATAACAGCCACATTCTATCAGTAACACTTTTTATTGTTAATAATAAAGCCATTGATAACACATCAAATTGTTCAATCATTTTGGGTAATGCTATTTTATATTAAAATTGTTGTTTTTAATTTTTTTTTTTTTGTGATGCATTTCACAGCTAAAAACAAGGTAAAATGCCAATAGCATCCACAACGATTTTGTTACAGAGAAGTTGAAACTGAGAGTAAAGAGGCGTGATAGAGGAAAGGATAAAGAGAAGGCCAGGGAATAGATTAAGGCATCTGGAGATGTCGATTGACATTACATTTGAATAGTTGGAGATTATAGCTATCAGGGAAACAAGTAATAGAAAGGGAATTCCACAGATGGGAGGTTCAAAACTTGAAGCTATTGTTGTAGAAGAGATGGCTACATTTAACAGTTTCGACAGTGAAAGGGTGGGACCGAGATGTAGCCTGGTTGCACGTTTAAATTCATGCAGTCTGGAAACTAGCAAAAGTAGCTCATCAGAGCAGTTACCATGAAAGTATTTATGGAAAAGACATAGGGAGGTAACAGCACATCTGTGAGAGAACAACTGTAGATGAGATGCCAGATCAGGGCCTATCACTGCATATCTGTCTCTGGATTTTGTCGAGGACCTTTTCTCAAACAGCATTTTTGCAATCCAGACCATATATGTTCAAATGAACATTCCATGCAAGGGCAAATGGTTGATTTATTGATTTGAAGGATGGACTCAGGCAAGAAAAACTTATCTGACGTTTACTAATCTACAGAACCAACTTTCATTTACCAGGATGAAACTATTGATTCAATGTATTTGTTCCATCTCAGATCAGCAGACAGTGTGAGACCAAGCAGTCACAAAGAGATGCTCTTATGGAATTGAGCCTCAGACATTCTAATGGGAAGCAGGGATGGTTCCCTGTGGTGAGTAAAACAGAGTAGTTTTGTTTTTGAGGCATTAGTTAACCAGTCAATTCCTGCCCCAGCCACAATGGATTGGAGGTCCTTTTTGAGACTAACAGCTAGGTTAGTTTTGTCAGCAATACCAGATTTGCTTTTGAGGCAGGAGTAAATAGTAGTGTCATTTGCATAGATGCCTACTTGGGAATTGATGACATCAAGAAGATCGTTAATGGAGATAAGGAACAGAGTAGGGGCCAGGATAGAGCTTTGGGGAACACCTGCATTTGTGGGAAAGGAACTGGAGGAGAATCCATTGAGAATGACCTTCATTACATGGTTTGACAGGAATGATCATATTAAGTCAAATAATCAACCTGAAATTCTGTATCCCTGAAGCTTACGAAGAAGGCTAGCATGCCAAACTCTATCAAACAATTTAGAGATATCTAGAGCCACAGCACAAGATTCTCTGTTATTGTGAAGTGCATGGTAAACAATTTTAGTTATGGTTGTGAGCACATCAGCTGTAGAATGGGTGAAGCAGAAACCATATTGCTTGTCAGAGAGCAGATCATGAGATATAAGGTGTTTAACCACTTCAGCATTGATTAAAGCTTCAAAGACTTTGCTGAAAAATGGTAAGAGACTGATAGGACGGTAGGTAGATGGGTCCGAAGGGTCTCTAGAGTTCTTAAAGACAGGTACAAGAGATGATTAACAGGCTGGAAAACAAGATACATTGAGGCAGTAGTTATATAATTTGGAGAGGGCAGAGACCAGTTCAGGAGCACATTTCATCAGGACAATGGCTGGTATCCCGTCTCCACTGCTAGCCTTATAGGAGTCTAATTTAGAGATGATGTCCAATACCAACAACAGGGTTATGTGCAATTCACTCAATAGAGCCTCAGTTCTAGAGGGGAAATCGCGTGTGGATACATCAGATGAGTCAAGTGTTGGATGAGAATTTACAAGCAAAGCACTCAGCCTTATCAGCTGAGGTCAGGACCTCAAATTGGTTGAACAAAGGAGGTATTGCGTGTTTGCTGTTGTTAAGTATGCTCTTGCAGAGATGCCAATAATGCTTGGAACCGAATTTGCGAAATGCAATATGTTGTTTCATTCTATCAGCAAATAGTGACTTTGCTTCATTGAGGACACACTTGCACTTTTGTTGCAAAAATTGGTTGGAAGCACACACAGGCAAAGAAAAGTAGTACAAGTCCAATAGGTTGACTAGGCAAAACAAATCCACACTTATCATCTCAATCTCCCATATGCCAATCACTGTCCAAAACAAAAAACGAACACCTGTTAAATGAGCGTACCATGTTTTCATGCACCTGACCCAGCCAATACTCATCCAATGAGTGCCCAGAACCAGCCAATAAAAATAGCTACAAGCGACACCATCACCTCTATCAGCACAAAGTGCTGTCTGATTCACTGTCCATCCAAAGCTTGTTGATTCACTGTCTCCACACTCCCTTGCAAAACACAGGTGACTCTGGCCCTTTTTTGTCGCTGAGGTAAGTCCCTGCTATAACTTGTTATGGGCTGTGACAAAGAGATGCCTGTTGCAATCTGACATGCCACTACAGTACAGGTGGAAGAAGTGATTCCTATGGGCAATGTCAACTGAGCAGAGAACCAAGGGGATGAGCGCAATTTAACCTTATATTTCCTTGCGGAGATGAAAGTCTCGATTCCAGCTTTTACCCAGGAGGAGACTTTGTAAGTGCATTCTTGAATGAGAAACCTAAAGACCACATCCCAGGAGACATCGCAAAGAAAATCCTGGAACAAGTCTTGGTCTGTTCGTTGATAACAGAAAGATTTTCTGTTGGTAGGAGCTTCTTTGCTGGGAGTGGTGTAGAAGGAAATGTTGACAGATACTACAGCATGATCAGAGTTGCCAAGAAGGTAGAGCTGCATGGAGCAACAGGACTCAGGGATGGAGGTGAAACAGAGATTGAGAAGGGAAGCCTTACTGTTCAGGTTGTTGGGGAAATGTGTGGGAAAGTCAACTATTTGCATGAGGGATTGAGAAATTGAAAAGTTAAAATCATTTGTAATGCATTTTTATAGTAATAGCATTTCTAGTGTATGTCCATAATAAAATGGCTTGTTACATAATTATACCCTCAATCCCTGTTGTTTCAGTATCCCATTCCATTTATTTAAGTTTCTATTATACTTCCAAGAACAGAAATAAGGCAATCATGGTTTTAAACTAAATTCATGATAAAATGATGATATTGAAAGAACACCAAATGTGATTTACTCAACAATGACCTTAAAAATAAAACAATAATAATACAGTAGTACCAATAGTTTTTGAAGCACAAGGAAGACCATTCAGACAACATCACTACAAAAAACAGCAAGAATAATGTGGAGAGTGCTTGATCAATGAGGAGACTTGTTGCTACTGAACCCCCAGTATCAATCATTTGTATGAAAATTCAATGAGTACAATGATAATAAAAAGGACTGAATTTGAAAATAGAAAAATACCGTTTCCAAAGTAATGAACATGTAGATTTCAACAGGATCTTTTTTGATTATAAATTCTGGATATTTTCTCTCAAAGAGACCCAGTTTGTAATCTGCAAGAAAATATAAGAAAGAAAATAAAGATCTTTTTGTTTTTGAATCAACTTGTCTGTACTTACCTATTACGGTGTCATCAGTCTTTTCATACTCCTAGAAAATATTCTTCCTTTACTAACAAAATTTACAGTAGTGTATGTGAAGAAGAAGTCTAAGGAAATCTGCGTGTGCACAGATTTTTCTACTAGACTAAACACAGCACTAGAATATTATCACTACCCACTTCCAAGCTCAGAAGAAGTTTTTACGAAACTTAATGGAGGCAAGTTCTTTTCAAAAATCGACCTCAGCGAAGCTTATCTCCAGTTACCTGTTGAGGAAGAAAGCTCAAAATTACTATGTATAAATACACAGAGGTTTATACAAGTTTGAAAGGCTTGCATTTGGGGTCAAAGTCGTACCACCCATTTTTCAGCAGGTTATGGACACCATGCTGGGTGGACTTGATTTTTCAACGGCTTACCTAGATGGCTTACTAATAAACAGTAAAAGCTTGAAACAACACCGGAAACACATCCACAAAGACTATGGCTTCAAAATAAAGGAAAGCAAATGTGACTTCTTCATGAAAGAAATTAAATACTTGGGTTACATCATAGACAAAGACGGTAGGAGACCGGACCCAGAAAAGCCATTGCAATTAAAGACATGCCGGCTCCTGAAAACGTCACAGAGCTACAGAGTTTTTTGGGGTTAGCGAACTACTATCAAACGTTTATCCCAAACATGCATAACCTCTGTGCCCCGCTGAACGAGCTTTTAAGGAAAGATAAGGTTTGGAAATGGACACCTTAATGCCAGGAGGCTTTCGAGAAAACTATCAAAATCCTAACATCGGATTTATTCCTAACGCACTAAGACCCGAACCTCGAGAACGTAGTTGCAACGCAAGCTCGCATGGAATAGGAGTGTGTATCCTTCATAAAATGCCAAATGGAATGCAAAAGCCCATCGCTCACGCATCAAGGACTCTGATCTCAGCAGAAAAAAACTATTCTCAAGTAGAGAAAGAGGCATTAGCGATCATTTACGCAGTCACGAAATTTCACTGTCACATACACGGAAGATTTTTCACACTACAAACGGACCATAAACCGCTACTTAGTATTTTCGGGTCAAAAAAAGGATTATCCGGTTATACGGCAAATAGACTGCTGAGGTGGGGGATAATTCTCCTAAATTACAACTTGAAGTTGAAATACCTCCCCTCCTCTGACTGACTTTCCAGACTGGTCCCAAGACATAGGGAACCCCTAGAAGATTCTGTGATCGCTTCACTACAAACGGAGGGGGAAATAAAAATTTTATTGTGTAGCACTATAAGAGAACTTCATGTGATGCTACAAGAAATAAAACATGAAGCCCGCAATGATGAATTCATTAACACAACAAAGAAAAAAAATTCAGAAAAGGACCAACACATTTCAGACAGTTTTTCCCTATGTGACGAGGTACTCCTATACAGCGAGAGAGTCGTCATTCCAAAGAACCTACAGAAGAGAATCCTGAAGGATTTTCACATTGGGCATCCGGGGAAAAATAGGATGAAAAGTCTAATGCGCAGCTATGTATACTGGCCTAAAATAGACCAAGACATCAAAAATATGGTCAACACATGCAAGGGCTGTGCATTGGCGGCAAAAGCAACACCTATCACATATAAACCGTGGCCAAAGACAGAACGACCTTGGTCAAGGATCCACGTGGACTTTACGGGACCGCTAGAGGGATTCTACTATCTAATTGTAGTAGATAGTTATTCAAAATGGCCGGAAGTGTTCCGATGCAAAAATCCCACTACGGAAGCAACAATAAGATACCTTCACCCAACTATTCGCCTGCTTTGGGTAGTAGATTTGCTTGTCAGTGACAACGGAACTCAATTTACTTCGACTGACTTTAAAGAGTTCTGCAAGATTTTTCAGATTAGACATATTACGACCCCCCCCATATCACTTGAAGTCGAATGGTCAAGCAGAACGTTTTGTCGACAACCTAAAAAGAGTCCCTAAAAAAGCTTGCGGCACCCCAAAGGAAAAGGCCCTGCAGCAGTTTTTACAAGTTTATAGGATCACGCCAAATGTTAACGCGCCAGCTTCACTATCTCCGGCAGAAATAATGTTTGCGCGTAAAGTAAGATCCGTTTTTGATAAATTGCTGCCCAAACAAACAAAACAAGGACTTACCTCTATTGTGCCAAAGAAAAAGTACAGCCCAGGGGAAAAAGTATTCTTTAAGATGTTTAAAAATAACACATCTTTCTGGGAACCTGGTACGATAGAAAAGAAGATTGGAAATATGGTCTACATAATCCAAGGCCCTCGTTTCTCTCATAAGAGACACCTGAATCAAATCAGGAAACGACTGTTGAATGACTGCAGCAGTACTCCCCAGGAAGAAGTGGTTGTGGATACCATCTACAACACCTTTGATATGCAAATATGCCAAGCAGCTCCGGAAACGTGAAGATCTAAAAGGAGGCGGAAGTTCACGGACCCTCTCGTCATCAATCCAAAAAGGAGACGATATTGAGACTCCTGCGGAGGTAAAGTCTTGAGAAGTGGGGGGGCGGGTATGTGGACCTACCTTCATGGACAAAAGAGACTCGTCTTATGACTATATTATGCCACGCAAGAGGACTGTAGAGGAGCGAACGAGTTTACTACTCTACTTAGCCGTCAGACGGACGTGCAACACTTCTGTGTTCGTTCTTTTTGTTAATAATACGTTTTCACTGAATTGCTGAGTTCGAGTTTTCTTTCGGACCTCTTCCGGGTCCAAAACAATTATCATCAAATATTTCCTTGTTGCTGATGTTTATTGATAATCTATATTGTACTGATTTGTGAAAATTGTTGAGTATCCTTTTATGGTGGTTGGATCTTCCATGGTTGTGTAAATCCTTCGTGTATGGTTTGTATATGCCTTCACTCAGGTCAAATGTAAAATCTAGGAAATTGATTACTTGGTATTAGTAGTAATTTAAAGTTTATGGTCCTTAAAGAATTTGGTTATGTCCATTTTCATCCTGTTTGCTTGTCTTGGACTCTGTTTACGAAGGACGATTATCCCATCATTTCTGTATATAACATTGTTTTTTTATATCAGCGATAAATCTAAGTCGCCATAGTAACAGTATCCCTACAAATTCTGCAGAAGTCTTGGTTATCTTTCTTAGTCCATAGATTTCCATCGTGGTATAAAATCAGTTTCTGTGCCTTTCTTATGACATTGACTTCACGGTTGGATATTGGGCAGTATTTCTTTGCTAACTTAATAGCGGCCATCAATAGTTCTTCTGTGATGGACAGGTAGAAGTTGCAGATATCAAACTGTAAAAAATGTACATTCTTCTTTCTTACTTATATTTCTGAACCATTCAATGGCTTCAGCTGTATTTCATCATTGGTTGATGCCTAAAGACTTTTTAGTATACATACATGCTCTTTCCATAATGTTTTTGCTGATAATATGGATGTTTTTGGATTTTTTGGGATAGGTTGAGAAGTCTAAATTGTGGGTTATTTGGAAAATTCCCATGTGGTCCTTGATCATGACAAAAGTCTGCTGTTTGTAAAGTTTAGAGATTCTATCATCTAATTTGAGTTCAGTTGCTATACCTTTGGCATCATGGTTAATAGTGTTTTCCCAGTTGTGGTCCACGTTTTTTATAGAACTTGAATACTTCTGTGGTAATGGCTTTGTGGTATGATTCTGCATTGATGTAATAGTGATTACCAGTATTATCCAATTTGATAATTATTTTATCAGATTTCTTGATCCTCTTGATGTTTCTTCACATTTTACGTTGTAGATCGTTGGTCTAGTTATTAAATTTGATATTTATCATAGAGAAAAACTCTGTTTCAAATTCCAAGATGCGCCAAGATTAGAGGAAATATCTCCACTATGTTGCATTTTTCTTCAGACATTTTAATAAAACATTTGAAAAAAATATTGCTCTAGGTAGCAAATAATAATAAATTAAACTACACTGAAAATTGATATTTTACTTAAAAAATTGTAATTAATTCCTTTTTTAGCTTATATTTCTTAAAAGCTTCTCATGTAAATAAAAACAAAATGCACACTGATAAGATGGTGTAAAGGCCAATAATCACCCACAAAATTTAAATCTGATTCATTATACAAAGTGAAACTGATAATTTTTGTCTTTTAGTTTTTCTCCTAAATAAAACTATTGCTTTAAAAAGTTCAAATGAATTAGGACATGTTTATGATTTGTGAATGGTTTTACTGAATTCATTGAGAAAAAATTTTTTCGAAAGAAAAATAAAATAAAAAATAGTTTTTAATTGATATTTTTACCTGAACATAACCTGCAATCAAATATTATCTTTTTAACTACACGTAAATAAATTTAATAAAGCATGTTATTTCTCATAACATAATTATATGTGTATTATTTTATATGTTTGTTTTTTCCAATATTATAAAGAAATATTAAACCTTAGTTTTAAATTAATCTATATTCACTTTATTTCACAGCATAGAATAATCGAGCCTGGTTATTTATTTCCGTTAACACTGTAACAATCTCTGAGGTACTAATTAATTGCATTTCCTTAAATGTAATCGAAATTTTAAGGTAATTTTTTTTTGTGTGTAGTTTTATGATATCATGCCTCAACTATCTAGACTTGTCCAAGAGTCTGGTTTAAAAATCAACCTACCCCTATATATATATATAATCATAAAGAAGTCATTATACAAAGAATTAATTAGCAATGTTAATGTAATTAATGGTGAAATCACTTCGCTAACAAGACTTAATAAGGCATTAACTTACTATTAATTCCTTGAATAATATGGTCCTTATATTTAAATTGTTGTCAGAGGGAACTGATGATTCTGGACCGAGTACTTTTGACAATTTCAAATTGTCATCTTCAGGGTGTAATATTTCCATTTATAGGTAAAGACCAAGATGACATAAAAGTAGTGTAGACCAAAAGATATATTTTAAAATATGCTATTTATTGACAGTTATGTTATTTTGGAACGTGGGATGTTACAATGCTAGAGTTCTTGTTTAAAGGATTCAAGTGAGAATTTTGTTTGAATTTAGTAATGTGATAAATCCATGAATTTTTGTTGTTGTATGTGTTTTCCAAACAATTCAAACCTCCATTTCTAAAGATCTATTATTAAAAAAAATAAATTTTGCTAAAAACTATATTAACATTACTGATGATGAACTTGAAGTTATCTTAGTGTCTAAACAATTTTTACTAATATATAACGATTCTACTTGGGTTAAAAGTCTTAATGAGAATAATTTTATGTTCTTATGGGCACATATGACTCTTCTCAAATTGCTGATTTAGTAGGTATCTATATATTAGACACTCTTAGTAGAATTATTGATTCTAATCAAGTAGGTCTTTACAGAGATGATGGACTTATTTTTATCCCAAATAGTAATGGTCCTCTATCTTCTCGAATACAGAAAAAGATAATACGAGCTTTCTAATTTCTGGGTTTTAAAAATGAAATCTCATCTAACCTTAAAATAAGTTAATTTCTTAGATATCACTTTTAACATCTCTAACAGCACATTCAAACCATTTCATAAAGAAAATCAAACTCAAACAACAACCTATTATTTAAAAAAATTATGACAGCAAAAATCAAGAAAACAAGCCTCCTTGTAATTGTAAAACTGGAACTAACAGCCTAGTTGGAGGCATTTGTAATTCTGAAAATATAGTATACAAAGCTACCATTTTTCCGAAAGAAAATATCAATGAGAAAACGATACCTGCTGATAGTTGGAAGCAGAGACTTTACAATTACCAGTATTCCTTCTCCAGTGATTCTTTAATATATCAAACTGCTCTATCTAAACATTATTGGAATCTTAACGATGAAGGCTTCAGCCCAAAAATTAAATGGAGGATTATCTGTCAATCTCAGACTCCCAACAACTTCCAAGACAGATGCAATCTATGGATACAGGAAAAAATCATAATGATAAGTATAAAAATGCTGATGAATTATTGAACCAAAGGAACAAACTTTTTTTTCAAGTGTAGACACAAAAACAGATTTAAAATGCCTAATAACATTAGTTTTGGAGACTTTATACTTGTGTTGATTCTGTTTTATATCGGTACTAACATGTATACGTACATGCATTCATGTTTTTGTATATGAGCATTTATGTGATTTTCTTGCCTAAATCAATTTTAATCTTAAAGTATTAATTATTTTTATATTATCTTTATTATTATTATTTTACCATATATATATATATATATATATATATATATATATATATATATATATATATATCCAAGTATAGGTTTATGTATACGGAATAAATTCCAATAAACAAAAAATACTATTCTTAAAAGGGTGCTCAATACAGAGTAGAGAAAATATAATTATTTATTCGAAAATTATAACATAAATATGTTATAAAATCACTACAAAAATACCCATTTTATTTCAACAGTTCTAGTGTTTTATCAAGTGATGGTGTTGAATGTAGAAAAAATCGCTTTAAAAGGTTAAAATCAATGAAACACCCCTCGCTAGGGGAAACGCTGTTACATAAGCTGGAATGACCAACCAAAATACAAGTATATGAGAATTCAAAAAGCTTGACAACGAACTTAATTATTTAATGTTTTAATGTCAGGGTTAGACTAAAATAGAATCCACTCTAACTAATGAATATTTAATTATACAATAAAATTAAAAATTGTCAATTTTAAATTTTAAATTTAATCTATATTAAGTTTAAAAAATTATGAAATTATTTAAAGAAGAACCTGAGGAAAAATACATGTTTTGTTATTTATTTTGTTTTTATTGAAAGGCCAAAAATTAAGTTGGAATAAACGTTAAAATCTAATGTTGTTCTGAGCTCCGTTGCAACTTAGATACATTTGAAGTGAAGATATGGGCAGGGGAGGGTGAAATCCCGCAAAAAAAGACAATAAATACACAATCAGATTATAATACACAAACACGGAGACATTTAGATATATAAACACGCAAAAAAGTGATGACACAGGAAATAGGTGTCCACGACCCTTAGAAAAAAACATGACCTATACATACAATGAAAGGCACAAATAAGCGATTATATACATATATATTGATAAAGACACGCACATATACACACCAAGAAATATTTAAATTTGAAAGTGTTATTAAACGAATTCTGACATACTATTAAAAATAACTTATACGGGTAAAGATATATAGATATTTTTATCTATATAACTTTACCCGTATAAATTATATTTTGTTTGAATAGATAAAATTGAATATGGGTAGAATAGAAAAACAAATATTCATCAATGAACAACTTAAGGAAAAAGGACACTAAAATATAAAAAATGGATAGAAAAATAAATATGCATAAAAATAACACAATCTAATATATAAAAAAAGAAAACTCCTAAAAACAGAAATATATATATCTCATATATACTTATATACATATTAGTACACATACACAAGTACAAATATATAACAATATGTGAAAGAAAATAAAAAATACATAGACATATGTATACACACATGTTTTATATATGCATATTTTAAGTTTCTTAAAATTATTCTTCATTTATCCCTTAATTTATTTAATTCATCAAATTTATTTAATTACTTTATTAATATTTTTATGTATCTTTTATACATTTTTATTTTTAATTTTTTTATTTTAACTTCCTTTATTTCATTGATGTCAAATATTATTATTATTATCAATTTGAAATTGTGATGATTATAATGCGATGATGATTGTTCTGCTGTCGAAAATGACATGATAACAAACAATTCAATGTATCTGTTTTAAGATCACTCCTTTCCTTACCCTGCATTTTAACTGGTTCAGTTCTTAAAGAAAAAAATCATTTTTAGGTCACCCTATCAGCTCATGTTTAATTCTTCCTCCTTTCCTTTCTTTTCTTTTCCTCCTTCTTTCCCCCTCTCTTCCTCCTCTCTCTGTTTCTCTCTTCCCTCTACAATTTTTTTTAAAAAACTTTATATTGAAATTTTTCTTTTTCTTTCTTCCTTTTAATATTAAAATTTTTTCCTTTCTCTTTTTCTATTTTCCTCTACCTTTTCCTTTCCTCTGGATAAATTGACTCCATTTATTAAAAAAAAGCTTTGGTCTGAAGAGATGAATATTTGTATATTCATGAAATAGATTATAACTGAATGGATTTATAAGGATCATCTGTGCTCATTATTATATTGCTCTGTTATTTACACTGAGCTCTCTTTGGATTAATGTCCTCCTTGGAATTATCCCTACTAATTATCAATTGATATTATATATATATATATATATATATATATATATAAGGTAAAAGACAATAGGAAAACTGTAACATTACTTTTTCAAGGCAAAATCAAAATTTATTAAAACAAAGTAACGATTAACAACAAAACAAAATGTCCTTAGCAACTGGAAGAATTTAGAAAATGCTATTGTATTCATATTCCTAAATTCATTTTGTTTTTGCCTTGAAAACTCCACAATGGACGAAACGTATTGGCTAATATTACAGTTTTCCTATTGTCTTTTACTTTTATAAATATTGTCTTTTTTCTACAAGTTAACTCTGAGAAATTTTTCATATACATATATATAAAGTTTCCGGACAAAAGTAGTATATAAAATCATATTGAGATCACAAAATTGTAAAACAAATTTTCACCGTTACGTAGTTAAAAGGATATTTTGTGAAGACAAAACATTTCGGATAGTA